GTCCTGTTTTCCCTGAGTCATTCCCAGCATGGCCTCCATTTTAGATTTCACTCGGTATTAGACCCGATTTACCTAACTACACTAACTACCTAACTTTAAATCTGGCTTCAATTTGATGCTTCCACTATGTCCCTGTGGCTTTGAAACTTTATTTCCTTTTTTTTTTTTCTTTTTTTTCTGATCTTCTTTTTCCTGAACTTCTCCTCCCTGATCTTCTTTTCCCCATTCTTCTCCTTCCTGGTCTCTCCTCCCTGATTTAATTTTCTGTGAATCACCTCTATAAAAGCCCCCARTTACTGTGGTTAGGCTTTRGGACAAGAGTCCATTGTGTTTCTTCTTTGCTAGCAARGCAATAAATCTTTTTCATTTTTCTCAAAACCATGTCCTCGTTATGTTATTGGATTGGCATCAGGGACAAGGACCAAGCTTTTAGCAACAGTGGGCAGGACGTGGACCATCTGGGTTTATTGATCTTGCCTGTTAGAGCAGAGTGTAGCAAAGGCACCCCCAACCCAGCGAAGGGTTGCATCAGCACRGTGATACCTTTCAGAAGAGCAGGGGCTCAAAGGTGAGACCAGAGAAGTGAAAAGACAGATGCCAGTCCAAGAGGCAGTGCTGTGTCCAGTGTGGGCAGCAGCAGGACACCTTGCAGGAAGTGGGACTCCTGGGGAGCTGGACCTGGCAATGGGTCTCTGGTGGAGTCCCTGGAAGAAGGCAGGGTCAGTTCTGTGCATGGGAGCTGAATTGAAATAGAAAGCTCCCACAAGGAGGTAATCACTAGAACCAGGGTCGATGACCAGACCAGGGCTGATGACCAGACCAGGGCCACCAGCACCATCTACCCATTTGTCTGTCCTTCCCTCTCTTCATCTGTCCATCTATCTAGTCCCTCTCACTCACTTATCTGTCCACCCATCCATTTGTCTGTCTTTCAGCCACTTGTCTGGCCTTGAATCTGTCCATATGACATTTGAAGTCTGTTAGGACAGATTCAGTGGCAAGTTGGTAGACACCAAGGGAAGACAGATCTACACTTAGAAGTCTGCTGGACACCTCAAACTCAACTTGTCTCCTCCTCCCGCTGCCAGACTTCTGCTCTAACATCTAACCCTTCAGCTCGCCAGGGCCATCCTTGGCTATCCAACTCTCTCAGCCATCTCTGCCCTCTCTGTCCTCTAGCTATTTCTCAATAYACCTGGGGCACAACAGCAGTGTCTACACTGTTTCTCCCCTTTCCAGGTGACAGTTTGTCCAGCTGATGGAAGATTGGGGAGAATACAGATCTGACACCATACTTACTCCTGGGGGGCCCTTGTTGCTCCCAAGTCCCTGAGAAGGCAGGCCCCTGTCTGTTGAGAGCCACAGTTTAGTCGGAATGACGCCTGGCATTTTGCTAAAGGGAATGGTTGAAAAGTGACCCTGCTCTGGGATTAGGGCAGCTCCGGGATTAGGGCRGATTCTGCTGCCTTGGCGCCCACTACTTTGGAGTTCCCGTTGAGTTCCGGGAGAATTGGTGCACGGAGCCTGGTGGAGGGAGTGTGTTCCCCGAAAGTGTGTGTAGAGTGCCGGTGAGAGTTCGGGAATAAAGAGTTGCTGTTTGAACCTATAAGGCTGTGTGGCGGCTCCGTTATTTGTGYCCAGCCAGACTGTGGTACCTGTCCACCTGTCTGTCTGTGCTGCTCACCTGCACAGTCTTGTTTATGCTGACCACACTGCCTCCCTCCTTTCAACAAGACACTTTGGCCTGAGGTCTCCCCAGGAACCTCTCAGGTGAGTGGCTCATTTTGGGTTCTCACAGCCTTCCCTGCTTACTTRTGGGGGTGAAGCTTGCTTTGGCCTATCTCCTGGGACCTTGGCTGTGATCTTCCCTGTTGGGGGGTCACGTCATCTGCATCTGCCTTGAAGAGTGTTCTGAGCTGAGCACCCAAGAGGGCTCCTGAAATTCCAGCTCTCTGTCATAGGTCAACAGTGCTCTGCTGCACATGGTCATCTCTCTCCTGCTGGATTCTAGGTACCTGAAGACCTTCGTTCTTTTTATTCTGATTCCTGATAGAACAGGTGCATGGTCCCTTCTCTGTGATTCCAAAATGCAGAAAGCTCTGGAAGCAGAAAGATTTTGTCCACCTGTAAATTTGATTCCAAAATTCAATTTGCTGCAAAAACTGCCCCGCCCTAAGGTGTTAGTAGCATCCCTGTCTGGTCAGGTGCCACTGCTGTTTTAGTATGACATGTGTGTTTTAATTTAAAAAGCTTACTTGTCCTTTGCAATTGTAATTGAACTTTGAATACATAGAAGAGTTAAATGCACCCCATTGCTCRCTGTGAGAAGGGCACATAGAAGCACTGTCCTTATAATGGGGAAGAAAGTCGCATTGAAGTTGGGAAGTCCCCCCCCCCCGCCCTTAGGAAATCAGAAGACAAGTAGTTGAGGGTTACAGGAACATGATGACCAAGAACCATGGAAACAGAGAACCCAGTGTACGCGGGGACTTTTCCAGGAGTGGATGGAGCGAGCTGGCAATGGAGATGCGTACAGTGGGGGGGGGGGGGCTGGGGGTGAAACCAGCTGGACTGGCAGGAGGAGCTGCGCTTTAAAGGTGAGCATGAATATTCAACAAGTGCCAAGGTGTGAAACCGTCTGCAGAGCTGAGTCTCCCAGAAGCTTCTCTTCAAGGAACAGCCGAAAATTACAGGAATGGATTTTTCTGAAATCAAGTCCCATGAAAACTGTG